TTGACCCTCTCCCGATACAACAACTGCGAGAGCGATTTCGCTTACGTTGGACAGGAAGTAGAAACACAAAGCGATCTCGATGGGCGCCACCCACACGCTGTTGACGTAAACCACAAAGTCCATCATCTTCTGGGTGTCCACGGAAATCAGGTTGATGACTTCTCCCACCGTGCACTGACGGCGAGCGGCGCTGCTCATCACCAGACACTGACGCCACATCAACACATTGCGGCAGTTCGCTTCGCTTCCCAAAAGGTCAAAACGTGTACACAAGGCGCAGAGAATGAATAGAAGCTACAATAGTGGCTGCGGTTGCGTCGTGCCTCCACTAGATGGAGCTACGCTAAAGGGAATACAACACAATTCAGCTTTATTTATAACGGAACTCACACTCCGGCGGCGTTGGCCGGATGCCGATGACGCCGCCCGCTTACCTTCCTGTAGACGAGGGCCATGAGGGCGCTCTTGAGCCTCATTCCGAGCGTGAAGCATCGGTACATGTACTGATGGTTAAGCAGCGACTGGAGGCAAGACAAGAAGAAGAGCAGGCCGGCGAACAGGAAGCCCTTCCACATGGCCGCGTCCTCGTCCCGCATGAAGCCCAGCAGAAGGCTGCGCCCAAACAGCATTTGCGATTACGCCGTTACAGTAAACGCCCCCTCCATGGCAGTAAATTGCCGTTGAACTGATATAACATTTATCTCGATAGATCTCTGCCGACCAACCTGAGCACCTGCGGGACAGCAAACATGAAGGCGTCGTGCAGGAGGAGGCACAAGGTCCCCGTCAGGAAGTAGGGCCCGAAGCTCCGCCCCAGGGCACGCAGGAGCAAGGAAATATAGCTGCGCTTTTTGGAGGGCTTCCTCAGCAGCCAGCTTTTCTCCGACGTCGCCGACGGCCTTCTGATGATCATGATGAAAAGCCATTTGACAGGAAAGTTGCAAACCGATCCTTGAAGGATGCCAGCAGTTGACTCGTCCGGACATCCAATTTCATTTCACTAAGTAGTGTATGACATTGAAAACTGTTACAAACTTGTTTGATGTCAACATTCTTTTTTTTTTTTTTTTTTAATTCAATTTGAAAGTGTCCCCCTGGGCCGAACTTTGGACACACTTTCTTTACTCCAAATCATCCCTTTGTTCAACTATTCATTTCAGGAACAATTTGTCAATTCAAGTCGGTGACATTTTTCTTTTTTTTTTTTTTAAATGCGCGTCAAATGTAGTTTCAAGAGTTTCTTTCTCACCGTTGCTCGGCACGTTTTTGCGTCCAGGCGGCTTCGAGCTCACTCATGATCCGCTCCGAAGAGTCCTGGTCGCGCAGCGTCCACAAGTCGTCTGCCTGCAGGGGGCGCCGGAAGCCCCGAATCACCAGGCTGCTCGGCGGAAAATTGTGTTTTTTAGATAGGGCGCAATAATTCGGCAAATTCAATCCGGCATTGGGATAGAAGGTTGGGGTGCTAACACCATATATTTGTTGACATTATTGTTGCCATCTGATTGATGTTTCTAGAACACAAACAAGCATTGGCTCACACACGGGAACACACCCCACAGCAATCGCGACAACCGTCTGTGATTTTCCTACCCGCTGAACCAAAAAAAGAAAAAGTTGGAAAGGAAGGAGGCATCTTCTTCGGGACAAGGGTTCTGAAATGAGAAAGCCAAACAAAACTAGCAAAACGTCAGCGGGAATCTCCCACCAATAAAAATAATAAAAACCCAATCGCCTTTTCGCTACCTCAACGCGGCGGGCGGCGAGCGGTCGCCGGTCCGAGAAGCCGCTCAGCACCACTTGGATGACTTGGAGGGAAAAACAGATGAAAAAGGCCACAAAACGGACGCCGTCTGACCAAAAGCCCTGAAAAAAAAGAGCGCATGTTAGCATGGCCGAAAGAAATGGCGTCACCAAGATTGGAATTTTTATTTCTATTTTGCGAGCACGTGCAGCCACGTGCCTGCCAGACTTGGCAACCAAGTGTCAAGCGCACATGAAGGTTTTCGGAGCCCCGCGTGAAATGAATATGGAAAATTGCCCGTCGGGCTTCTGTGACTTTTGGCAGCTGACAAAAGGGAAAGTCAGCATATCACAACTGTTGCTATGAATGAGGCACTCCCAGTAGGCAAACCAAACCAAAAACAAAGCGTATTGAACGTAACCACATACAGGTTTGGCTTTGGAAACACCTTTAGCTTGATGCTAACAAACAACAAAAAACATCATAGCCAAGCTAACAAAACTAGCATCGATGTCGCAAGAGCTTTCATTGCGAAGTTAACGAATATTTGAACACAAACTGTCGCAATTGTCAAAATATATATTTGTCATTTTCTGCGCAACAACTCCCTGTGGCTAATTGTAAGTGAATGCACGGCGCATTGACACGTCGCAATTATACTGCCCCCTGGAGGTCACGATCCGCACACACAGGAGAAACATATTGTAGATTTCAGTTTGTCAAATTAAAGCCCCCCCAAAAAAAGAAGAAAGTATCAATTTGCAAAGTCTTCCAGACCTGATCAAGAATCTGCTCCACGATAACCTTGAGAGGAGGGACAGCGCAAAGAACCAGAAGAGTCCAGAAGAGGAAGAGCAGGACGGACGAGCGGGTGCCTTTTCTCCTCTCCACGTGGATAACGACGACGGACAGCACCTGGCGGGCACACAACATTTTCAAATGCCGTTTGGAGCACGGTGACGTCGGACGGCGACGGACGTGACCCACGAAAGTCAAGGATCGGACGAGCGGGCCAAGCAAGAAGACGGCGTGAGTGTGGAGTTCGTCGTTCTTCTTCACCAGGAGGTAGAAAATCTCCAGGAGACTCAACGACGCCAGACTCAAGCTTAGCAGCTGCAAACAGACGTCACGTACTTATGCGGGAAAAATTCATGCGATGGAGCCCCGCGTGTTCGTCTAATCGTGGATTTTATTTAATTGTTTTTAATCATTCAACATTATTCGTGGATTTTTTTTTCTTACCCAATCGGCCGCCTATTTACTTTTTTCCATTAAAAAAAAGATTTACATTCTGTGGCTATTGGAAGGGTTCATACATGGTTGTCAGATTGTCAATATCTGTACTTTTTGACCCTGAATCGTGTTCTTTCTTCATGAAAAATTGTTTAAAAGAGGCATATGGTTCAGAGATTTTCACCGTGCACGTTCTTTGGGCCCGAACTGTTAATTGGGATGGACACCCCCCCCCCTCCCCATTTTAGCTACCTATTTACAATGCAACTGTGAAACTCGCCGAAATTTGGGAAGCTCCCACAGCTGTTTTTCAAACTAGGCGGTCATCTTACTGTCTTGGAGCAGCACAGTAATGAGAGCGGAAGGGGCTGTCGCCGGGGTCGAAGATGAAGGTAAAGCAGGTAGAGGGGACAGAAGGTCCACAGGAAAACGCACGGCAAGCAAACCAGGACGGTGTGTTGGAAGCACTGCGTCAGGTCGGGCTTGCTGGTGTACCACGTCACGTTCCAGTCCTGACAACAAACAAAAAAAAAGCACCGTTCAACATGATTTCACAAACGCTGTCCAAAAAGTATCACCGCAAGTGATGCAAACAAAGAAGAGCGTCACCACTATTGGAAATGACTCAATAAATCTTCCTTTGCAATGGATGAAGAAAATCTGCCTGTGAGTAATCTGATGTGTGTCTATGCACTGTTTGTGTTCAAATATCAGTTTCATAGTGTTAAGTACTGCAACGTCAATGCTAGTTTCGTTAGCCTGTCTATGGCACTTTTCATTGGCTGTAAGCTTTAAGGCAGAGCAGTGTCGAACTTTTAAGCTTTTTTTTTTTTTAAACAATTGTTTACAAGTCTTTGTTGTTGAAATTTACTGTGACCATGACCCACATCCCAAAAACTTTTGCCGTGTTTAACTTACCCACAAGGGATCCAAACCGCCCAGCCGACACAAATCCTCCATGACTCTGGTGTCGTCCCAACGGATTCCGCAACAATTTCTCACCGGCCACAGCTTCGACTTTTGCTTTTCAGCACTTTCATTTTGTCACACCGTCGTGCCAAATAACATGCGTGTGTCACGTATGTGACACATGCATGCACACATATATAAACGCACACGCGCGCACACCCGCCCACACGCACTTACCCTAATTTCCTCAGTGTGTTCAGGGAAACGCAATCAAGTCTTACTATGGCACCATCTTGTGGTGTCTGTCAGCTAATTACGTTAAAGTGAGTTACAGGCGTTTATTTCAGAAAAAAAAACAATGACACCATCTCAAGGTATGCTGGTGCTAAGAAACTATGTTGAAGTGAGTTGAAGGGTTTCTTTTTGGGGGAAAAAGTGCTTTGAGATTATATTGAAAGATGTTTGTCTCAAGAACGATAGCATTTACACGTGGGCTGTGATTTGAAGCCATCTTGTGGCATTTGGGTGTCAAGGAACGATGTTGAAGTGAGTTGAGGGGTTCCTGTTAAGAATGAACAGTGCCCGTGATGGTCTTGAAAGAATTTGGTGCCAAGGAACTGTTGGGAGTGGAGGAGTTTCAATGAGACAAAAATAATTTCACCTTTGAAAAAGTTGTTATTTGACTCTCAGGAATTCCAGTGCCGAGGAACTAAGTTGGAGTGGAGGAGTTTCAGTCAAACAAAAACAGTGTGTTATGACAATCTGGTGGCATCTCAAGGCAATCCTAAAACTTTTATGGTGGATGTTGTCACTTTACACCAACTGTAGACTTTCGCGTCTGCAACCACTCCCATTCAAGTCACATGACTTGGTATGGAGCTACGTTTCGCCATAGCGAGGGAGGACTTAGACGCGTGCTGGAAACAAAGGAACAAAGCACAATATTTTAATGAAAGAACACAAGTTATTTATTTGGTTTTTGCGAGACATTTCACAAAAAAAAAAAAAAAAAATGGAGACTAGTCTATTTCCCGTTGGCCTGAAATACTGACAAACATATTTTCTGTGGAGAGCAGCAGAGAGGATTCCTGGAAGAGAATGTGCCTCATTTTAATTTCTTTCGTGACGTCACTTCTCCTACATGGGATCGTCAAAATAAGAGGGAGGAAATAATCACATTCTATTTCCCACGAAAAGAATCAATGCTGTCGCGGCAGTCAAATAAAAGCCCAAAGAGGAAACGATGTGCTCACTCATCTGCGGTAGCGCCCCCTCTCCTTCTCCCGGTCTCGGTCCCTGGGCCGCTCTCGTTCTCGCCTCGGTCCGACTCGTTCGCGCTCGCGCTGACGCTCGCGTTCCCGCCGACTGCTCACCACGGCCTGCGTCCGCCGCAGGAAGTCGTCCACGCGCATGTCGTAGTCGTGCTGCCCGAGCAAGTCGACGCCAATCAGTTCTAAAAGTCAGTCCAGGCGCGCCCCCGCCCCCCGAGAACTGAGACTCACCGGACTGGACGCGAAGGCACGATGCGGCGGCGCCGCAACTCGTTGTTTGTCTCGGAAGCGAGGGGGCGGCCCCTCGTGCGGCGGCATAGGATGGTGGTGGTATGCCTGGTGCGGGGGTGGCGGGGGATGGTTGTGGTGGTAGTAGGGAGGGTGGTGGGGTGCCGGCTGCTCCACGGGGTATGCGGCCTGAACACACAGAAACATGATCGGTTCCGGCGGAGGACTCAAAAGGGAAGCCTGAGGAACAAACGAGGCTTACCAACGTCTGCCAAGGAGGCGGCGGTCCCACGTTGTGGTGATAGTCTCGCATGTAGTCGTAAGACTGGCGAGAAACAGGAAGCCATGTTACCGGTGATGCTTGTCCCGAGTCAAGACAAAATGCAACCAACTTTATGAATCGTACAATTTGTGTCAGAGCTTTTGAGATTGCTCATCGCCAGGCAAAACTGTATTTTTTTTTTTTTAAATATCGTCCTGGGACTGAAACATTTTATCAGTTCTCCGTATCGCCGGTAAAAAGCAGGAAATGATTGGTTCTCAGTATTGGTTGAAATTTCTTCTATTGTGCATCACTTGCTCATGCTTTGCTGACTGTTCTTAACTCATTCACTGCCAAAGACGTTTTTAAACGTCTTTTCAGACTTGGTTCAGAATTGGCTGGTACTGAATGAGTTTCATGTCGCTTATTTCGGACAACAGTGAATGGATTTGAAATTCTGCAGAGGCTATTTGGGTGGCCGGATCTGACTTGGTATACGCAGGTGTCAGTTTTGTCATAAAATGTGGAATTTTTGACTGCCCGTTACATCTGCCATTCGAAAGGAAAGGAGTTGCCCCATGGCCGCACGCGTCGGCCGACGTGGCTCGCTGTGCGGCGGGCAGGTCTTCCGCCTGAGCGGGACACTCACCCCATTGAGGAAAATGTCCCGTCTCACATTGGAGAAACGCCTGCAAAAGGGCCGAGAAAACAAGACAGAGAAGTGCAGGTTTTTCCACCTTCATCATTTGCTACGTTGGCTGTTTTTTTTTTTTTTTTTTGGGGAGGGGGGGCGGTGGTCCTCACCTCTCCACCGGCTGGTTACGCAGGTCTGGGATAAAGCCTGCAAAGAAAACCAAATGAGATTGTTCCGTGAGCGCGACCGCATATGAGCGAGCGTCCCGAGGACATGCTGATGGTCACTGGAAAATCCACAAACAGACAACATTTGCGGCTTCTTCTCTTGGACTCTCATTTCCACAACCTGATCGTTGGTTGAAGTCCGGACATTCTGCCCGAGGTCGCTTCCTGCCGTGGAGGTCGTACTCTTCGAGACGACGCCTACGTGGACAAGTTGACACGTAAGACAAACGGATGCTCGCTAGTACATGCGAGGCTGCTGGTAGCAGTCACACACTAAAAAAAAGAAATACTCAACCTTCAAACCACTTTGACAAGCCTTGGCACGAAAAAGACTTTGTCCAACTGATGCTCAGATCTACAAAATTGGTCGGCCAAGTCACCTCAGTTTGTAACACCAGTTCTCAAGTCTGCTTAGGTGGTCCCACAGTCTCGCATCTTTGTTTTCTATTTTTTGCTCAGTCTCTGAGTTTTATCAATTTGCCCGACTGGTCCTAGCATCTACTAAGATGGTCCAAAAGTCTTCCCAGTTTTTCCTACTTGTCCTGAAGTCTAGTCAGTCGCTCCTTAAGTCTTTCTGGGCTGTCCCATTGGTCCTGAAGTCCACTTACTTGGGCTCAAAGTCTCACTGGTATTTCGTTCTGATGCTTAAGTCAATTTTGTTGGTTGCTGAGTCTTCCCGGTTTGTCCAGTCAGTTCCCGAGTCGACTTACTTCAGCCCTCCGTTTTCCAAGATTGTTCCACTGTTCCTGAAGTCTATTTCGTCGATTGCTAAGTCTTTGTCCCACTTGTCCTCATGTCGAGCAAGTTGGTCCCACTGGTACTATGAGTCTACTTGGTTGGTCCCTCAGTCGACAATCTAGTGTATGTCAAAGCTTCCAAATTCACGCGATAAGAAAAAAATGTAATAGTAGATGTACAAACTTTGAAAGACATCAAAGGCTGGGGACTAGTGTATGTCAAAGCTTCCAAATTCACGCGATAATAAAAAAAATGTAATAGTAGATGTACAAACGTTGAAAGATATCAAAGGCTGGGGGGTCAACATACCGCTTGTGATGTAAAAGTGGACTTTGGATTCTACAAAGTTTGTTTCCACATCTGCGTCCATGATAAAAGGCTTTTCAAACAAACCCTCTTACTTTGAAAGGGCGGAGGGGTCATGATGGTGCTGGTGGTGCAGTCCTGTCAGTCACCAATGAAAAGCCCCAACCCCTCCAGACATTTTTTTGAGTCCATCAAACACACACTTAAGAGTTCATTCAAGAGCAACACACACACACACCGCAACAAAACGTCCTCGTTCGGTGCGTGTGTGTCTGTCTCAAGACTTTTTTCAAGTGTCCGCCCAAGGGGTGGACGCAGGGTCATTTGATCAGTTCCATCTTTTACCTGATTGGACAAATTGTCCCCCCGCCACCCTTCATGGGACAGTCCAGTGATTTCCCCCCCTCCCCATCAAATGATCAACCTGCACCACCTTGGAAAAAAAACCAAAAACAAAAGAGTCCATGTGGAGATCACAGTCCCTCTCTCTTTCTTTCTCTCTTTTCCCTTCAAGCTCCCTCGCCCCTTCCTGCTTCCATCAGTCCAGCCAATGCTTTTATTTTGAAAAGTCCATCTAGATTTGGCTAGCTTCAACTTGCTATGAGTGAACCTCCTGCAAAGAGAGAAAGTCAAACAAACATGAAACCATTTCAACTTCCCGCCTCACAGAGCAACCTTCACGGCGGCACTCCAGCGGGAATACTCCAGAGCGAGTGGCAGAGCAACGACAAGCTCGAGCGGATTAGCCGCGGCGCTCGTTGTCTCAGACGTCCGGCGGCAGGTGGCGCCGCGGTGGGAGCGGAAGAACAACAGGAAGTGGGAGGAGGAGCTTGGCGATTGGCTAACCTTCCCGGCTCGCGCAGCGGCGGACGGCCGCGGGGTCGCGTTTCCGAAGGGGTCTCACGCTTGTGGCGAACGCGCCGGGCCACCTGGTGGATGTCCACGCTCTCGTCCAAAGGGAAGAGCGCACAGAGCTGAGCGCCGACGTCCGGCTGGATTTCCTGACAAAGGGCAACCGCACACAAATAGCTCAACATGGAAACGAGTGCAAAATGTGGCTCATCTTTTTGCATTACCCACTGCTCTTGCGCTCTCTCAATTAATTCGAGTTTGTAATATTTGAAGTGTTTAAAGACTATAAAAAATAAAAATAAAATGCCGTAAATGCTTTTAATACATACCTCGGTAACATAATTACACACAGGGTTTGCAAGTTCCTACATCATCGATTTCACCCATTGTGGGTTAAGGTAAGAGCCCTAAGTTAAGGTGTCACTTGATTAAAAAAAGCAATGTAGAATGAAAATCTTACTTGTCCGTCACGGCCGATCTTGACGGGCTTGTGCTCGTTCCAGGGGTTGGAAAGGTGGGCCGTCTTTGTGAAGGAGAGCTCCCGCCTGCGGAGAGCCATCCAAAGAAGTGAGGTGAAGTGGGTGGCCAACCCGCTGTCAGGGGGGAGCTCACCTGCAGAGCCAATCGATCTTGAAGACGCCACCCAGCATCTTGGCGTTCATGCCGGCAGGAAGCACCCAGTGGATGGGAGAGCCGCCGTGAAGAGACTCAGAAGCCAAGCGGGCAAAACCTAGCACATGTGTGAGGTATGCCTTTAAGTCATCTGGCTGATGAGCAACTTGACCCCCCCCCGCCCCCCCCCCCCCCCCGAACCCCTCGCCTCATCCTCTCACCTTGGAATTTTCCGCTCTCCCGGACAGAGAAGACCAGGATGACGCTGCGAGCCGCGCGGAAGGCCGCGTTCAGCTTCTTCTCGTTGACGGGCAGCGTGGACCACACACCCTGAACGACAACGGCGAGTAGATGAGGTGGAGTTCAGCTCAGACCAAGAAAGATAGAAAGAGAGGAACAAAAGGAAGCAAGGAAAGGACAGAAAGAAAAGAAAGGGCTAAAGAAAGAGCGACATGGCTAATTAGTAGTCAAGGAGGCTGCCAATTGGCGTCGCGAGAGCGGCTGCCTTTACAGCAGCGCCTACAATTTTTCTTCTTCGACTGTCTTCCATTCATAACTTTGCAGCTATAAATTGCGAATTTCGCCATTGTGAGACGAATAAAGGTTTTCTTCTTATTATTATTATAATTATGGAGCAAAGACATGGCAAAGATATTTGAATTGATTCTGGGTAACTTGGGTCCTTAGTTTTTGGGATGTTGATATTTTTGACAATTCATTGATTGATAGTTAATGTGCTTTGACTTTTTCCAAAATGTTCTTTGATGGTTATTAAAAGTTGTTTGTGCTTTGACCTCACCCTTTTTTGTTTACTGTTTATATTGCCTAACAGGAGGGGAAAGGAAAGAAAGTGGGAAGAAAAGAAAGAAAGGAAGAGAAAAAGGAGGCAGGTTTTGACAATTCATTGATTGATAGTTAATGTGCTTTAACTTTTTCCAAAATGTTCTTTGATGGTTACTAAAAGTTGTTTGTGCTTTGACCTCACCTGTTTTTGTTGACTGTTAATGTTGCCTAACAGGAGGGGAAAGGAAAGAAAGTGGGAAGAAAAAAAGGAAGAGAAAAAGGAGGCAGACGGGCAGGAAGAAAGAAGAGAAAAAAGAAGGAAAGAACGTGCAACCGAGGAAGGCAAGGGGGAAGGCAAAGGTGGAGCTTGCCAGCCGGCAGGTGACGTACTTTGGCTTTGGCCAGTGAGACGTTCTCGTGGTTGTTGCTCTTAATGACGAAGAAGCGCGACTCGCGCAGGATGTAGCGAAGGTTACTGGTGGGATCTGCAAGAAAAGAGGATGCACGGTTGGCCAAAACAAGAAGCGCGGTCGACTGACTGACGTTGCCCAACGGTGGAAGGCGGACTTACTGACGGCTCGCACCGACGACGAAAGCTTCTCCCGCTTCTTCTCGGAACCTGTTTGGACAACAACATGAGGCAGTCACAAGTATGAACTTGGCGGCGCCGCCAGGCGATGCAAACGGGAGCAGTTCCTACCTGAGACGTCGGAGCCCGAGGCCGAGTGCGCCGACTCGCCGTCGTCTGAGAAACTGACGGAGAAAAAAAAAGGTGACCCTGTTTTGTTTCTTGTTTTATGTTTTTGCAAAAAAAAAAAAAAAAAAAAACCTAATTGCAGCATATTGAACGAAGGTCTGCTTATGGAGAAATAGAATGTCCGCCACCCCACTGCTACCACGACGCGTTAATGGCAGCGGCGTCATACAAAGCTGTGAAATTTGGCACACCTGCTTGGCGGCGTCGCTGTTCCTGGGAGAGCGTCTCCGTCTGGTTCTTTCGCCTCCACTGCTACGGCCTGCGTCTCTCGTCCCCCGGCGGCTCTTTCGTTCATCGTAGTCGTCGCCGCCGCGGTAGCTGCTAACGTGGCGTCTGTGAGGACTGGTAGCTGACCTCTTAGAGGACGATGATGATAGGGGGGCGCCTGAGCCTCTCTTATTGGCCGAAGATGATCTAGAAGGGGTGTGGCCAGAGGAGCCCCGTAGCCGCTTGCGGTCATGGCACTCTGAATGGTCGCTCTTCCGCTTTGTTCCTACCACACAAATATGTCCAAGTGTCTCAAAGCATCCCAGGAAGGTGAAGACAGCAAAGTGAGGAATGGAAGATAAGAAAAGATAGATCGAGGACAAAATGGTACGGGTGCTACCTTTCTTATCTGTGATGTGTCGCTCCGTCTGAGGGTTGTACAGCTCGTCATCCTGATCCGGCGCTTCAGTCAAAATGTCTTCCAGAACAGTGAGCTCGCCATCTATCACACCATAAAATCAACTTGAGCAACATGACCAAGGGATTCTCAAATGAACATGTTAGACAATCCAGGTGACTGGCCGCCATTTTTTTCCCCAGGGCTCATTTTCGTCGTGTTTCAGATCTCAAAACATTGAAATCTGTACTCTGATATATAGTTTGATTTTTCCATTAACTATAAGAACATATTAAAGTTATTATGACTACTGACTTATAACTTATTCGAGTGTGAATTTTTTTTTCTGAACAGATAGAAATTGTATAAACAACAACATCATTAGCAGGCATGCTGGTAGGTCACATCATTCCTTCCTTGAAACGAGTCCAAGTGCGGTTAAGGTAACAAAATTGAGGAAATGGTCCTAATCACCCGCTGCCGTTAGGCTTGGGGACGCGTATCGACGAGCGACCAAGAAGAAATCAATAACCCGATTAGCAAGATTGGCGATACAAAAGGTTCCACACAACAAAGACAAGCTAACTGGCAAACCAAGCTATCGAGCTAGCCAAGCTCACTCGTACCTTTGTCCTCGCGACGGTCGGCCGCCATCTTAGCGCCGAGGCGACTGTGCTCCTGACGCGAGCTACCTGCTTGCGGTCGACGGAGAAAGTGTTTGATTATCGACGAAGATTCGTGAAAATGTCAACGATTCACAAAATTGCGAGCAACGACGAGAGGCAAAATATGCTAAGATGGCTGTCTGGACCGGAAGTTCTTCCAGTGTAATGGTGACAGCTTCCGTTAAGTTATTGGCGCTGTTGTGACGTGTTCGATACTTTACTGCTACTCACGTACGTAAAATTGGTACTGTGAGGAGAATTGTTCAAAAACGAAATGTCCCATAAATAAAAAATAAAAAAAAAAATCCCGAAATGTAGACGTTACTCGTTTTTCCTCCACTTTGTTTTGAAATAAAACGAAATGTCCCATAAATAAAAAATAAAAAAAAACCCTAAATGTAGACGTTACTCGTTTTTCCCCCACTTTGTTTTGAAATGAAACGCGGCCTTTCCGACATATTGCATGTGACAGTAAAGTAATGCATATAAATGGACATTCATTCACATACTGTACATCGGAAACGGGCAAACGAAATTACAAATGTTACGTTGCATTTGATGATTATAAATGTTTAGATGATTAGGGTTTTACTTTCAAACATTGTTGGACTTTGAAGTTGAAATTCTTTGATTCAGTCTGAATATATATAGAAATTGGCTTTTATTTTGATATTTTGACATTTCTGCGGTAAGAATCAACTGAACAGCCAAAGTTGCGACGGTTTGAATTGGTCAAGAAAAATACGTGATTCGGAGCTTTTATTTTGTAAAGTTTTTGGAGTCGGATCAGCTGTTGAACGTTGGAATGGTTTGAATCGGTCTCACAATGAGAAAATAAAGCCATTAAATTTAAATTCTTCATTTGGGGGTTTTATTTCGAATCGTGTTGTAGTTCGACTGAGGTGAACGTTTGTCAACTCCTGATTACTAGTTTGCAACGCTCTCATCCCATGCACAGTCCTGTCCAGTAGGTGGCGATAATGCACGCTAAAGCAGCAAGCCGAAGAAGAGAGGGAGATTCCGGAAGCCAGTCAACACAGCGGATGTCTGGTCCACGTCAGCGAGTGTCGCCGACGATCGCCCCGTTTCAACTGGCCCACGAGTTTGTCCGCCGGTCCGCTCGTCTCGATGGCGGACGAGAGCACGCGCAAGGCGGTGTCTCAGATCCCGCTTCTTAAGACACAGGCCGGCCCGCGGGAGCGAGCTCTGTGGCCGCAGCGCCTCAAGGAGGAGTACCTGGCTCTCATCCGCTTCGTGGAGAACAACAAGGCGGCCGACAACGACTGGTTTCGCCTCGAGTCCAACGCGGACGGCACGCGTTGGACCGGCACTTGCTGGTTCGTGCACGAGCTCCTGCGCTACGAGTTCCGCCTGGAGTTCGACATCCCCGTGACGTACCCGGACACGGCGCCGGAAGTGGCACTGCCGGAGCTGGATGGCAAAACGGCTAAAATGTACCGCGGCGGCAAGATCTGCCTGACCGAACACTTCGCGCCGCTGTGGGCCCGGAACGCGCCGCGCTTCGGCCTGGCCCACCTTATGGCGCTCGGGCTCGGCCCTTGGCTCGCCGTCGAGGTCCCGGACCTGATCGCTAAGGGTCTCGTAGTCCACGCGGAGCAGCAGAAGGCGCCGCAGTGACGTCTCGCACGCCACTGATAGCGTGTGAACATTTGCATCGCAGCGAGCGCTGCCCTGCAATCATGTTGGCGACTAAAATCAAACCAGGAACTATTCCCTCTGTCAAAACGTATGTTAATAAAACATGAAAAAATGTGTAACACGTATTTTGATGAGTGGAAAAACGCTACTTTATAAAGACATTGACAAAATTAACAATTAATTTTTCTTTTTCGACACTTTGTTCTGAAATGCACATTGTGTTGCTCCTGATGTGTTTGCCTCAGTCAACTGTGGGTACAAGAAGAATACACTGATCATTGAGCCTGCTTATCTGTCATCAATATGGCACAAATTAGTCTTTCTCTGCAGAGGATAAAGTATATTTGGGGGCACCTGCAATGAGATGCTAATTGTTAAACCTTGTGGCTATGAAGTTTTTCATTTGATGTGAAATGGAGGGAAACTGAAATCTGAGATGTCAGCTGGACAGATATGAAGTGAGGTGTATTGCATACATTTTGCTGTAAAGTTATATTCAAAAAAAGTTAAAAGCTCACTGAAAAACTGGTGATTTGACTGTCGTTTCTAATTTTCTGATTAACAGTACAAACATGCTCGTTTGAGGCTCAAACCTAAACCTGGAAGCCCCTTAAATAAACATTGTTAAATGGTCTATAGTCAAAGTCGCCAAATACCAGCTCAAGTCCACATTAACGTTAGCAGAGATGCTAACATGAAAACTTCTTGCTAAAAGACCATTTTATTGAATAAAGAGTGAGGTGCGGTGAAACAAACCGTCTCATTCCGTCACCCAAAGTTTAAAGGTTCTGTCGTAGGAGCACGTGGCGATGAGTTTGCCGTCTGGAGACACGTCCACACCCATCACCTGACAACAATAACAAAAAAAGGCGTCACGATATAGTTTTTTTTTTTTTTTCTATATGGTGGACCTTGATCGTTCTGCAGAAATCCCAACAGAGTGAATAGGGAATGCTGAACAAATCATTCGGTGATGAATTGAAAACTCGATCATCGGTATGTCCGGATTTGTGCAACTATCAGAAACGGAGAAAAACAAAGGTCTACCTTCCCCTCGTGGCCGGCGAGCGTCTTCAGCGGCATCCAGCCAGGGTGACTCCAAACCTTCGCCATGTTGTCGTATGCGCATGTCAACAGGAATTGGCCGTCCGTCGCTGTACATGCACAGACATATACATGCACACGCACGTCGAGTAAATGCAGTCTTGGAATGTCACTGAGTGCAAATACTTCAAAAGCATCATCATGTCTCGGCACACACAGACGAACAAACATTCGCAATCACACTCGACGAACAAATTAGAGCGTTCCATTAGCCTGCCGTGCATAATTTTGGAATTAAGAGCTTTTGGAAAAAGAAAGGCAAAGCGTGCTTACGCTGGAATCTGACACCTGACAACAGGTTATGGTGGGCGGGGATTGTGTAAAGACACTTCCTGTTCCTCAGCTCCCAAACTTTGCAGGTGTTGTCTCCACTTCCTGTCGCCAGGTGGTAACTGAGTGAGAAAACAATCACAATTTAGGGATTTTTTTTTTTTTAATATAGTGGACCTAGATACCTGTGGCTCCTAAAAAAATATAATCTAAAAAATACCTGTGGCTCCTAAAAAAATATAATCTAAAAATGGCTTTGTCGTGATTCGGCAAATGGGACTCATTCTCTTTTCGTCTTTTAATAAGAAAATCAAAAAGTTATGAGGAAAAAGTATATATGTTGAAAGATAGGAAACCATTTTTGAAATTGACAAGATGTCGTGAATTGCTTTTCGCACGTTACCTAAAAACAAGGCAAAGGTGTGGCCCCCTGAATTTTTTCCATTTTCTGTAAGTGGGACTCAATAAGAAGTCTGGACTTGCATCCCGGTTCTCCAGGTGCTGTCGCGTGACTGACTGACCCGTTAGGTGAGAAATGCACGCTGTAGATCTCCTTCAGGTGTCCTTCCAGGAAGACCACGCAGCGTCCTGTGCGGAGATCCCAAACTCTTCCAAAGGCATCCAGGCCACTGGCGAGTAAGAAAAGGTTCACTTGACTGTACGGGCGACATATTACAGTGGAACCTCGGTTTGCGAAGCTCAACTGGTTCGCAAAGCTAAATTGGTTCCCCAAGCGAAGCAATATTTTCCGCCGTGCTTTACTCCAGTGATGACAATGTGTATCCTGTTCCGGTGTAGTCGTACGCTGTTGCTTTGTAGCATAGTAGCGCTTACCCAGTGGCAGCCAGCGATCCGTCAGGATGAAAATGAAGATCGTGAACACCTTTGCTGTGACCTTCTTGATGTAGAATCTCCTCTTGCACCTCCATGTCCCAAAGACGCCACGAGTGATCGTAGCTACACAGTTTTAGCACGCGTTATTCGTCGTCATTGGTCCGGGGCCCGACCGATATGGATTTGATGACGGCTATGTCAATTTCGTTTTGGCAGAGTAGGATTTCAATCAGTGATCAATTAAAAAACAAAAACTACACAGTGAATGATTCTTTTTTTTGTTTCAATACCGCTTACAACAATAAAGATAATTATTGGACGAACATTTGACTGTCTTACAATACCAAGCAATTAAGGATTCATCTAACTTTAATGATAGATAAAAATTGCCCCAAAATTATTTTTTTAAAGGGGTGGGGGGAACTGGGGCAAACATTTGAATGCCATAATCTTTGTCTCATGCTGTAATGTTAACGTGCTAAAAATCAGAGCTAATATTGGCCAATCAATCGGTCGGGCCTCGGTCGATAGCATGTGTGCTAGTTGTGTGTTTTGAGTGTGTCTGCCGCTTTACCATGTAGATCCCAGGAACCTTCCAGACGGATGCCAACAAACACGAGAAACTCGCTCGGTGTGGTCGTCGATGCTCACCACCGGCTCGTCGCTACGACGACCACAAAAAAGGGTTTGTTACTTTTCACTTTGATTTCTCCTCTTTGGCTCCGCCTCCTTTACTTTACCTGAGGAGGTTCCAGAGCTTCACGGACCCATCCGCGGCACACGAGGCCAAACTGACGTCCGATTGGTCGAGAGACAACCCGGCCTGCGGGCGGAAGACCACCGCGCCCACGTTGGTGTTGTGACCTGCAATTCAACAAGTGCCACTGTTTTTTTTCCCCCTCAATTGGATTTGCAGGATAAAAGTGCTTTTTAAAAACTTGAAATTAAGGAAAATTCTATTAATCTGTTCCAGCCATGAAAAAAAAACTAAAATTAAGAATTTAACAAATATATAAAGGTTGATTCAAATGTTTTGTTTTTTTAAATATTATTTCGCAAGTTGATATCGAAGTGAATTCCCGCTCAAATTTCTCCTCATTTCAAGAGCATGTTTTTAAACAGGTCAAAATTGGATGTTGCTTGTTTTTATCTTTATAGATATAGAGATGCTTGAAGAAAATAAAAGTTTTGCGTGTTGAAGCCAGGAGTTCTTGTAGGTTTGGACATGGCCCTAAAAACCTCAGAGAGAATATTTTTTAATCCAACCACGTGAAGTATCATAAGTCAAGGCACCACTGTACGAGAAACTGAATGCTCCGCCCACCTCTCAGAGTACGAATCGGGTTGCAGTCGGGAATGGACCACAGCTTACACAAACCGCTCCTGTGGGGTACACGTCACGTTAGCATAGCACGAGCTGTTTGCACGCTTGCGTTTGTGTGCGAGCATCACCAGGAGGCAGTGGCCAGCATTTTGGAATCGGGGCTGAAGTGGCAGAAGCTGATTGGTCGATCGTCACCGATCTGACTGCAGAAGTTGTTCAAGTTCTAAAAGAGGAGGAGTGACACTTTTCTTAAATCATCCAAATCATTGAAAAATAATTTCATCACGCTGCTAATACTGATTTGCGCTCACTCTCAGGCTCTTGTTCAGCTCCTGTTGGCGGATGGTTCTGGTTGCCTCGCAAATTTCCTTTTGGGCCCGGGCTACCTCGAGACGCTTCATCGACCTGACGGAGCAATCACAGCACATGGCACGCGCGCACACACACACACGCACTCCCGGTTTCTCGACTTCATATTGGACTCATTGGTCCAGTCGGTGGGCACTCACCTGGGCAGAGAGTAACGGGCCAGCCAGAGACGTGCATCCTTGAGAGAGGTGGGCCCTTCGTGGTACCACGTCTGATGGCACTGTAATTGGTCGGGAAGAAAAAATTACAATACAGGCACTTTATCGTCATATGTAACGACGCAACACATGGACGTGTGTGTGTGTTGTCATGCCAATTGCCAACCTCCTCCTGTGAACGCTTGGCTCGCTCTTCATCTCTCCTAGACTTCTTCAGGGCATCTGGACCCACCACGGACAAAATGCCACGCAGCCTGAAAAGTGGACAAGACTGAGGTAAAAGCAGACGAGATAAAAGTAAAAGTAGACAAGACAGTGAAAGTGGACAAGATGAAAGTTACAGGGCACAGCCTACCGCTCTCGCCGATCGGCCGGCCCCTCCCCCAATAAGGTGATTGGCT